AATACACCCAATTTTGTACAAGAATACATAATTCAGTCAAGTTCCTTCAAGTCTTCAACTGTTCTGACATGGGGCCGCATTGAACCAGTCTTCAGAGGCTCCCATAAATTCTAATTAAAGAAAGAAAAGAACTGTAAACAGTTATTAGAACAGTGGTTACTTAATTTAACACATAGCAATTTTAAGGCGATTGCCTTACAATTATCAAATGATAATTGCATGAAAAAGTGTTTCTAAAACTCACTTGGTGATACACAGAGAAGATGGTGATGCAAAGCAGTCACCAGAGGAGCTGGCGCAGCAGCTCGGGCGAGTGCGTATCAGCGATTGAAAGAACACGCAAGCTGCGCCCACAACGCAGCTGCCACTCAAGGTCAACGGAAGAAAAGCTGGCGATGGCGGAAATCATTTCCGCAGAGCTTTCTTCCTTTTTCTTTACAGATACGATTAAATTCGAGGAAGAAACAATCCAAAAGATCAAATAGAGCTTTCAACATGTTAAAAGCAAACAGCTTAAAACTCCGAGCTCTAATTGGATTGTTTTCGTTCCTCAAACGAAAATTTATATCATAAGGGACACGATTTATACACTGGATAATGAAATGTGTACGATTAATTTTTACTTTTTGTTGTCAATAAAAATGCTCAGCCATGGTCTATAGCGTATTTCAAATATTTAAATCAATTATATGTCCTGAAAAAATTCTGTGGGTAACCTGTACTGATTATCCTCGGTTGAAAATACTTGGGGAAAATCCGTGGGTTCAGTTATATTTGGTGATCGGTCTAGGAGTGAGTAAGGCCAAATGTTGCAAGTTTAACCAAATAGGTGTAATAAATTAGTTTGTTTAAAAATATAAGTCATATGAGCAGAAAAATAAGTCGGAATCAGTATTTCGAAGCGAAATCCAGCCATATGAATTTTTGGCATCCATACAAATGCTTGTGCATGAGTGAGACGCGCAATGTTTAGAGTAAGCAACAGGAGAGAAAGCAAATTTTTTTTTCAAATTATCGAAGAAATTTGATTATTCTATAGAACATTATTCTTTTCTTATTATTGTAACGTTATATTTTTTGATGTTTCTCTGCAGTCGCCTATAGCCCATTTGAAACAAAAAATAAATCTATAGGCAATAAATCTATATCTATATAAATATAATTTAGTTCTATTGGTTCGGAAACAAAAAATTAATCTTAATATAACCACGGGAAAAATCGAAAAAATGGTTCATTAAAATAAGTAGAACGATATTTTGGGAATTTGTAGTCATGCATGATATTTTTGTCGACCTAAAGTCTTATTTCAACTCAACCGGTATCATCCGAGTGGGGAAGTAAAGTTGCCTATAAATCTTTATAGTGCCATGAACAGCAAGTCATATCTCGAATGTTTTCAGAATGGAAAAGCGGACGGATAATTATAAACGTGTCTGAAATAATTTTATTTTGTTTATTTCCACTTAGAGATATAATGGTATGATGCGCTCAATTTCGTTCTGCAGCTTTATTTCCCGCCAAGAAAGATGTGAATTCTCAATTATTTTTCTGGACGTTTCGTCTCGTTTCAAAATCGTCCAGGATTACCAGTGAAAGTTGAAAATTTCGCCGATTATATCGCTAATCGGAATAAAGCTTCTAGGATCGCCCCGCTCCTCGACTAAAGAATATAATACGTAAGAGGTTGCTTGTCTGTCGCACCTCTTATATGCATATTAATTACAGTATATGTGAGACCTGAGGTTAGCTTCGGGTTAGTTCGTAATAAGAGGATAAATGAGGCACATACTGAAGATTAATCGTGTATTTATTATAAATTAACATGGCTTACAGTTTATGGGATTATAGGTAGATCAGAGTATGAGGATAGCACATTTGTCTACGCTCACGACTCGAAGGGGAGTGAGTGAGCTGCCAAAATCAAATCTGTCCTATTACAGATGAAAGTTTGCAAGCACTGCAAAGTGATCTCCGTGAGCATGGTTGATCAGACGGTCACCTGTGAACGTTGCGAATATTTTATTTGTATCAGTTGTTTGAAGTTGAGCTCTGAACAGTACTTGTTTCTCTAGAAAACTAAATTACTTCACTGGTCTTGTCGGGACTGCGAAGAACCAACTCATGGTGTTCGAAAAAGCGAGAAGCCGGTGGAAGAGCAAAGCAATGAGTCAGAGTCGTTGAATAGTTTAGCTAAGCTAAAAAACAAGAAGGAAGCCTACAAGCGTTATTTACGAACTCGCAGCGACGTTGATTATAACCTGTATGCAAGAGCTCAAATTTAAGCTAAAAAAATCTGCCGCATCGCAGTGAAAAACTATGAAAAATATATTGTCAAAAATACAAAAAAAAAAACGAAAAAATAACCCGAAATAAACGATCTGCCAGACGTATTGTCAAGCGCCTGCTCCATGTATACCGATAACACAAAAGTTTATAATACAGTCAAGGATGCGTCAAATAAAACGCAATTGCAAGATGATCTTGATAATTTCGTTGACTGATACTGTAAGTGACAGCTGCGTTTTAATGCTGAAAAGTGTTAAGTGCTTCACTTCGGATAGAACAGTGAACTGCAAAATTACAGTGTAGAGGGCTCGGTTAATTATTAGGGGTAAACAATGCGTATTATCTTGATGTGCAGTGAATAGGAAAAGGATGTATTTTAATTAGGATGTAAAAGTTGTAAGATTGCTTTAGAAGGAATCGTAGCTTTACTGTCTGGGGTCGGGCAAACGAATTCATTCGGATTTTAGAGAGCGGAGAGTATGGATGCCTCGATTCTGCGTGCTTATGTTTTGATCCAGATAGTCTCAACGGACTTTGTAACCTTGCGCATTTTTATAGCTGTGTTGTGGTGTAAGATTTCAAGTATATCTTGACCAGAAAAAACTTTTATTTATGACAACAGTTCATGCGAACCTGGTGGTCCCCAACAACAGTATGAGTGGGCCTATTTTGTTGGGGCCTATTTTGTTCGTTGGTTTTATAAATAATAGCCAGAAGTAGTGTCCAGCGTATGCTCCATGTATGCCAACGACCCAAAAGTTTATAATACAGTGAAGGATGCATCAAATAGAGTGCAATTGCAAGATCTTGACAGTTTAGTTAACTGGGCTGATACGTGGCAGCTGCGGTTTAATGCTGCCAAGTGTAAAGTACTTCACCTCTGGAAGATCAATGAACTGCAAGATTACAGTATGAGAAGACATGGTTGCAACGAGAGATTAATGATTGAAAAGTCTAGCGTGGAAAAAGATTTGGGAGTTTTTGTCGACAGGGAGCTGAAATCCTTTAAGCATATTGTAACGCAGGCCAGTGAATCCAATAAACTTCTTAGAAAGATCAGACGCTCCTTCGAGTTCTTAGATTCAGGAGCGATGAAGCTGTTGTTTGTTGCTGTCGTGCGCCCGAACCTAGAGTTTCGAAACGCCGAACCGAAACTTGATAATGACGAAAATTGAATAGAGAATGTTCAAAGACGTGCAAGAAGGATAATTCCAGGCTTGAAGGGCAAGTCATACGAAGAAAGATTAAAGATTATGAAGCTTCCAAGCCTCTGTTATCGACGTCTGCGTGGGGACCTCATTGAAGTACCGTATACAAGTATACTCATGGTTTATACAAGGTCCTAGAAGGATTACTAGAATTTGAAACAAGAACCAACACCAAGGGCCACGGCTATAAACTAAAAAATTTGCGTTGCTATTCATCCACGTGACAACATTTCTTCTCGCTTCGAATCACGGACATGTGGAACAGCCTCCCCGAATGCATCGTTGACGCTCCGCGTATAAACGTGTTCAAGAACAGACTAGATGAGGCTATGGAGCAATTGGAAAAATATATGTTCAGACTTGAAATACCTGGCACCATATCGAACCCGGTGGAAGTCTAATAGTTATTTCAAACTATCGTCAGTTTGGAAAAGATCTGGTGATCTGGTCGAAGAACCTGTTTTTAGATCTCCTGTGAACAAGTCACGAAAAGTACAAGAGTCGGCGACAGCCACATCAGGCCTACTCTGTAGCGCCGACATCACTATGTTCTCTTATGTTATGATATGATAGGAGAAGATCACACCATGGATAAGGAAGAAGACCACGAAGGCCCTACTAGACCAGCACTGAAATTCTGAGGACCAAACACACTTGGGGCCTCAGACCAACGTGGGGCACCCGCCATACCTGGGCTGCTAACCACACCTGGGGGCTCCTGGCATACATGGGGCACCCGCCTCAGGTGTGAACCTGAGGCGTGTAACCACCTCAGGCGTATAGCCGCCTCTGGTGTGGAGGCTATACGACTATAGCATGACAAACAAAAGCGTGTGAAAATGTTAAGGGGGGTATACGTATACCCTCCGGAAAACCTTTTTTGTTTACGGACGGATCTTTCTGAAACTTCACACATATATGTAAAACAAAGAAAAACATTTTGTTCTTTTGATTTTTTTTTCGGAAAAATTGATAGAAAACGTGAAATTCATATAAAACGGACAAAAAAGGGGGTCCTGTAGAAATCCTACTCCTACTAGGGTTTTCCAGCTACAACATTGAGACGCATATCATTCGATGCGTAAAGACCATATAAATCGATTAACGATGCCCGATTTTTCTATTTTTGCCTTAGTTTTTTATACACGCATTTTTTCCATTTTATCTCATTTTCTTTAGATTTTCCTCCCTTCCCTCCATTTTGAATCCAAACTATGCACAAATAAAAAAAGGGCTTCGGTAATCGATAGGTATAGTCTTTACAAATCGAATGGTATATGTCTCATCGCTGTAACTTCAAAACTCTAGGAGTAGGATTTTCCGTGACAATAGGTGTGAATGTTGAGGAGCGCGCGACAAAGTCCCCCGCGCATTGCAATATGCACTAAATGTAGCAAGGATACAAAAGTACAGGCTTCTGTACCTTGATTCCACTCAAGGATGATGGGAGCGACTTGCAGTGCACCTCTCCGTACGAAGCGAGGCGGGTGGCTAAGTTTTTGTGCCAGAAAACACCATATATGTAGTGCTGGCCAGCTATTTTTGCCCCATCTAATTGCTGAAGGAACTCGCAGAACTCACAGAAATGGCAGTGGTACCGTTGGATAGGGCAGAATGTCAGCTTTAAGATGATACTAAATACCAAAAAAGCCAAATCCGAAACATTTAGGGTATATCCCCCCCCCCTTAAGCTTATGTTGTCGAGCAGGCTTGGTCAGGCGTATCTCATTAAAAATAATTACAGTCTAATAACTAGTGGAGAAAACTGCGCATGATCTTTAATAAAAAGCAAATGAACGATTTTTCATCGGTAACACTACATAAGGAAGCAAAGCGATGAGTTCCATATTAATCACAAGCTTAATTCTGCTGTTTCACATTTACGATAAAACAAGAGCAACCAGCCTTGGCTAGAATCAACAACCAGGATATTTCCAGATGCTTCGGAGCATAACTATATGCTGGGCAGGCTGCGTTATTCATCCAGATCAGCGTGAGTCGTGACAGACCGAGCAGTTTGCCTCAGACTGTCACATCCCATGGAGTGAAGGTCCCAGGCACCGGCGCAGGGATCTGAGGAGCAGATCGACAAGGCATAGCTGTGAGACAATGTACAGCTTTAGAGTACGTATGAAAAAAAATACTTGCATGCAGGCTCTGAGATTGTGTATGTATGTATATGAGAGTGTATTACTTTTATATATTCATAATTTTTTTTTAGGAAATCAATACCCATCACAATGATTTGATTAAGAAATCAAACTCCTAAAAACTATGTTAATCAATCCGGTTCGATACAAATTTTTAAAGATTGAAATTTTTTGGATGTGTTAGCGACAGCTCTCCATAACCGTAAGTTTACTGCTGGAATGCTTTCGTTCTCATAACAAACAAGTTCTTGATGATAGTAAGTTTTACATTTGTGAGTGTTGAGTACAGTTCTTCATAACCGTACGCTTGATCTTCGTGGAAATTGTGATCCGTTTGTACGCACAAGCTTGAGTATCTTTTAAACAACGGGTTGTTGTTTGTAGAATTAAGGACGCGTCGTTTTTTAAAAGCAACCAAATATATTAAATGAGAATTTGGGGAACATGTGAAATTGTAAAAAAATAAATGTAAATAAAAGAAATAAGTGAATGCAAATTCGATTGACGATGGTCCCACGAAAGTGAGCTCAACTCACTGTGATTGTCATTTTGAAATGATGTACAGGTTAAGTATCAAGGAAAATCTTGCGATTATCATCATTATGTTGCAAAAGGAAAATATGAGTTTCAATCTGCGGGTAACTGACGAGGCTGGTGATGCGGTCGTTGCATGCCATGCGGATGCGCTCAGCCGAAGCTGGAGAGTCCAGGCGGAAGAGGCGAGCTGAGGACCCCACAGTTTTCGTCTGTAGAGGCTCGCCTGCTGTTACAATTGCCGCCTCTTCGTCACCGTAGTGCTGGAAGCGTTCGTCTTCACGTGCTGCGGCCACGGCGTCTTTGATGGCAAAGAAAATCGAAGACGCAAGGAACAGCGGTGGCTCGCCGATGGCCTGAAAAAAAAATCAATTTTTGAATGATTGAGATGGTCTTGAGGTTTTAGACATAGATTTTTAGATTTGAGTGACGATTTGAACTTTGTTTGTGTGATAAGTGAGGACCAGGGTGATGAATGATAACTGGTTGACGAGTGACGGTGACTGGGTGACGAATGATGGTAACAGGATCATTAGCAGTGATGTCAGCAATCACTGGAAGACGAGCAAGGATTACTGGCGTATGATCAGTAATGACTAAATTCGAGAGTTTAAGACTTTCTCGCCCAATAGAATGAAAACAAAACTTAGGCCACTGAAATACGGTGGAACCTACCTATTATATTTAGGCTGTTGGTATTTTCATTTTGATGCAAGCATTGTAGGCGTAGCAGACCAGGAGGGCATAAATGGTTAGGTAGTGGTGCGACTTTGGACCTAAGAGACCCGGTCTATTTACTCAGAATTTGCCGAGTCTGTTGTTACAGATACCGCTGGCGAACTTCGGTGGAATCTTACCCGCATAAAGGGAACTGAGGGCGTGGACATACCTTGGAGGAGTACACAGCTTTGGGGTTGCCAACTTCCCTTAGCAGCGTCACGTTCATCTCGCACGGGATGTCTTGTACGCCTGACGATCGAACATTGAAGCAGAATTAGTTCGGAATGAAATGGGCTCAGTCTCAAAGTTAAGCAACAAAAATCAGGTAAAATTAATAATACGCAAGACGATATGAAGGACCGAGACTTTGGTGTAATGGATATTAGAGCAAGCGGAGAGATAATGATAATGTAAGTTTAATTTAGGAAACAGCTAGACAATCAAGGTTCATGCAGTGACGTTCCGCGTTGAGAGAGCCATAAAAATACGTTGAGGTGCAGTGTACCTGGAAGTTTATAGGCCCCTGGCCCAGTAGTGAGGAGGGCCCCTCGGGGAGAGAATCGCAGTTCCTCAAGAGTAAAGAGGCCCTGTCCTTGCACGAAGGCTCCTTCGATCTGACCGATATCCACCGCAGGATTAAGCGACTTCCCCACATCCATCACGATGTCGGTTCGCAGCACCTGGGGCGAGCTTCCCATTAAAACGACACATTTGTCATCAACATTCTTTTAGGAAATAATAGTCTTCAAGAGAGCATGGCTGTACAAGGGTCGCCCAGTGGTTAATGTGTTAATTTTCAACATGAAAACTCGAGGTGCACTGAAATTTCAAGAACAAAAAGAATCTGTCGTACCGTGTGGTCTCCTGTGAGGCAGTCGATTTCCACTTCAGAGACTGCGGCACCAAAGCTGAAGTAGCTGAACGGCGTCCCTTCCTGCGTGTCGAAGTTGAAACCACTCAGCCCAGGGGTGCTGGGGGCGAAGAAACTCTATGAAAAACACGGGATCCCATACCTGTTTTTCTAAGATTTTTTTGCTCAATCGGATCTACAGATTTTGATCAGTAAAATGTACGGTTTATAGAGCTTTTAACATACGAGGGTCAACCGGAATGTAGTACCTACCCGTTTGGGAATTGAACAAAAGGAAGTAAATATTAACAAATGAAAGCATGTTTATTGAAAAGAATATGTATAGTCAAATGGGGGTAAGACAGGATCGCAGCCTTCATGGGGTAAGAAAGGACCAGCCCATGGCATGCATTTTAATTGCACCGAATTCAATTTGACAAAAGAATATGTTAGAGCAATCATTGCCTGTCATTTCAGTGTTTGTGGCAACCCTCTTCTGCAAATAATAAATTTCTGGCTAATTTTTAAAGAAAACCTATGTAAAGAAGGGTCACAAAATAGTTAACCCTGTTTGGGAAATAAGCTCTGTCTAATGACAAAAAATTTTTTGGCCAGGTTTGTGGATGTAGGCAGGTAACCTCAAGTAATAGGCAACCTTTTAGACATACTAGGCATTCCTACCTGCTACCGTCACTGCCTGACATGTATTCTAAAATGGGGTAAAAAAGGACCGGACATAGGGTAAGCCAGGACCACTAAATGATCCTGTTTTAGCACACAAGTGGTCCTATCTTACCCCACAAATGGTCCTATCTTACCCCACAAATGGTCCTCTATTACTCTACAGTTTATCAAAAATAGTTTTGATAGGAATATATTATTGTGTAGTACATGGAGTATTTTGGTCAAAATTTTTATCTTTTGCTCAAACCTCGTTATAACTTGTTAGCTTTTTTGATTAGAGAAATTTAGTGCACTATTTTAAATTGCATCAAAGGGATATATATATATATATATATAACACTACTTCTCTACATAACCTCCAAACAAATTTAAGCATTTGTCGTATCGTGTCACGAGTTTTTGTATACCGGTGTCATATTCCTCCCCCGCCAGTGTTTCTGGGTTCGGCAAGGTGTACTGCTCATCGATTTCATGACGCGTGGATACACAATCAATGCCAATGCATATTGTGCAACATTAAAAAAATTACGGCGGGCAATTCAAATCGACAGCAACGTCTGTTGTCTACTGGCGTCATTCTCATGCACAATGATGCCAGGCCGCATACGGCTGGAATAACACAACAACTTCTCCAAAAATTCAAGTGGGAAATTTTCGACCATCCACCCTACAGTCTGGACTTGAGTCCTTCAGATTTTCATCTGTTTACGAAACTCAAGGACTTCGTGGCAGGGACAAAGTTTCAAAATGACGAAGAACTGAAAGAACACGTGACTGCGTATCTCAATACACTGGCGGCGGAGCAATATGACACTGGTATACAAAAACTCGTGACATGATACGACAAATGCCAAAATTTGTCCGGATATTATGTAGAGAAGTAGTGTAATACATGTTCATTCCAATAAGCATGTTCACATTTGGTAATATTTACTTCCTTTCGTTCAATTCCCAAACGGGTACTACTTTCCGGATGACCCTTATATATTGTTAAATTTTTTTAGCGGAAAAATCTCTTCTCAATTCGGACGATTTTTTTTTCATTCAAGCGCAACAGAAAATCATGTTTCACTACGAGAAAGAGACTCAACACACAACGTCGCAGTTAAGCGACCTTGCCATTACCATAGGTAGCACAAGCGCGAGGCTGCAAGTAATTTCTTTACAAGCGAAAAGTCCTACCCTCTTGCGGCCTTTGTGTCACTCACGCATAGAAACCAGTAGCGGACAGCTGGACGCGGTCGAGGTAAGCAGCCATGACCCAGCTGTCCCAGCCGGCGTCTGGGTTCTTCTGGCGGTACGGGGCCAAACGATTCCACAGCTCAGTGCACGCGCGCTGCACGTCAAGAAGCACAATTTTAACTTTGAACAGTCTGAAATAAAATTGATGACAAATAATTATAAGAAAATATATTTTTTAATAAAAGGTATCAAGACATTTTACCACAGAAACTTTTGTATCACTATAACAGAAATTTAGACGTGGGTGATTACGCGACACGTTGGTCTGAGTTCCGAGAGGGGATTGTGGGCCTTTGCGTTATTCAACGGCGCCGAACGCTCGTGGGTCACGTCAAGAATATATATTAGGATAGAAATCGTCCTTCCCCAGATCAGTTTGAGCCGAGGAGTTTATACAAAGACAAAACAACTACATTTAGAGTTAGCAGTGGTAGTTTTGCCGGCATCAAGAAACTAACGATAACCCTTACACCGCTGTTTATGGTGCTTGTGGAGTAAAGATGCATGATACTGTAATTACAGTTTAATACGACATGTTAACCGGTGTTGACGAATAACTACCACTTACCAAGACGGCCTCCCCCTTGAGGTTTTCTTGTGACATGTTAACAGGTGTTAATGCCTAACTACCACTTACCAAGACGGCCTCAACGTTGAGGTTTTCTTGTGACATGTTAACCGGTGTTGATGCCTAACTACCACTTACCAAGACGGCCTCCCCGTTGAGGTTTTCTTGTGACATGTTAACCGATGTTGATGCATAACTACCACTTACCAAGACGGCCTCCCCGTTGAGGTTTTTTGTGACATGTTAACCGGTGTTGATGCCATACCAAGACGGCCTCCCCGTTGAGGTTTTCTGGTGACATGTTAACCAGTGTTGATGCCTAACTACCACTTACCAAGACGGCCTCCCCGTTGAGGTCAGAAGAGGCTGAGGCGGCGGTGGGAGAGGCGTTGGGGACTTTATCGGTGGCGGTGTCCGCGATGTGTATCTTGGCGGCCGGGATGTGAAGCGCTCGCGATGCCACCTCATCAAATTACGAGTCACTTTCATAAATTTTAATGGAAAACAATTGTTTTGTAAACCCCGGAAAAAGAAAGGGTAGAGTTAACACAATTTTTCCATTCAGCTTCCCCAAAAATTAATTTGAAGAATGATCGCTTAAAAAATCTAAGCAGCAAATATAAATCCTAGTTGAACCGGAAATTTCGTTATTTGTCGATAAATAGTAAACTTTTCTCTAAGAAACAAAACGATTTTTGGTTTAGGGAATATGCTCCCTTGAGAAACGAGATGAAATAAACTAGTCAGAACAACTAGTTCTAGCAATCACAGGATTGCTAGAAACCATCTCATGTTTGACACAGACCGTGTCACCATGAACTATAACACAGACCGTGTCACCATGAACTATAAGGAAGTCATTGGAGATAAATTTATTCTGATTAACACACGTACGGTAATATGACATTGAGACCACGCAGGCTGCCTTTAGGACGGGAAAATATAAGAGTTGGGAGCACACCCAATCTGTTGAAAATTTTTCAAAAAGAAAAATGAATTACGAACCTAAATATATATAGGTTCATAAATATCTTCATTGCTCGAGCATCAATTTGGGTACTATCGAAAATAATGAATTGTTCCTGTTCATAATATTTTCATATTTATTTGCTAGGATCAGCTAGCTGAGAACGTAAAAATGGCCAAAGCATTTTTGGGTAGTGAATGTGAATGCCGTACATAATCCCAGCCATTTGCATCGAATGAAATAATTATATACATAGAGAGCAAATGTTGAGTCAAGAACTAACAAACTTCACAGTTAAACTAGCGATTAGTTTTATTTTTATTACACTAGCTATATTCACTAGCTATTAATGATAGTGCACTTTGAAGCGTTAAAACCTATTTTCTTATATGTAGATTAAACTTGTCGCTGGAGTTTATAATTTGAGATGAATTATACACTAACTTGAATCATTTTGGTGTGCAGCCCTTGGCCCATCTCTGTACCCCCGTGGGTGAGTAGAACTGAGCCGTCTTTGTAAACCATCACGAGAGCCCCAGCCTGGTTGAGGGGCAGGACAGTGAACGCGATTCCGAACTTGGTGGGCACAACGGCGAGACCTCGCTTCTTGTGAACGTGGGTTCTGGGGAACAAAAAACAAGCCAGTGTCCCCTCATTAATTCCACAACTCCTTCATCGGAACTGATAGTATTCGGAATTTTCACTCCACATGCAAGCAATCTCGTTTTAAACTAGTTTTTGATGACAAATATCTACAACAATGAGACACAAAGACTGTGGGATCAATCACACGACGGAATGCTGCATTTAAGGTGCCTGCACATGGGGACAGTAACACGTGTACCTGTTGAACTGCTGCGCCTCCTCCCTCCTGCGCGCGTACTTCGCCTGCAGCTGCACGTGTACCTGTTGAACTGCTGCGCCTCCTCCTCCTGCGCCTGCAGCTGCACGTGTACCTGTTGAACTGCTGCGCCTCCTCCCTCCGGCGCGCGTACTGCGCCTGCAGCTGCATGTGTACCTGTTGAACTGCTGCGCCTCCTCCCTCCTGCGTGCGTACTGCGCCTGCAGCTGCACGTCGCGCCAGCAACGCGCCAGAGTGCTGTTCTCAATCAGCTGGCGGAAGTGCGTGCGGTCGCCATCTTTGTACAGGTTGCGTTCCCGTACCTGCAGGGAAATTTATAGCACGCATTACGATGGCGGTGAATTTCATGAAGACTGATGCTTCAGGTTTAGCGGATTATTATTAATACGTTAGCTTCATTAATATTTGTTCAGCATTCCGATTCTTGTCATTCCAATAATGCAACCGAAACCAATAATGGTGCAACAAGATTGAGCGAAATGATGTCTAAACAATAATTTTTCCCAGCTTTTCACAAAACCACGGATTCTTCCTCGCTTTTAATTAAATTACCATCTAAACGTTCAGAAGATCATTAACTCGACCAGGAGGTAGAATTTAGGTAAAAGCCTGATCGCTTTATATATTTTATAGGATCAACGTTTGATCGCAGGGATTAATTACATAAGTGGCAGATAAATTAAGACGCTTTACATTCCAGACTTATTCTGGTACGGGGAGGTATAGGTTTTTAAGTAATTACTGATCGAGGTAAGAGACACGGACAACTACTGCTGCCGTCAGGCCTACGTACTCCCACTACAGTTGGCCAGCTGCCAGCTGTCTGTTAAGGGGAGCGTCTGGCCTAAAATTTGGGATTTCGGCTTTTCCGGTTTTTAGTCTCATCTTAAAGCTGATATTCTGACCTATTTAACGGTACCAAAACCATCTCTGTACGTTGATTTATGCGTTCACGACAGATCCCGAAAGGTTGGGGGGTGGGGAAGTTCTTTAACATTTAAGATACGGGGAAATTAGCTGCCGAGCACTTGAGTGCCGAGTCTGCTTGAGCTGCACTCCAGTTGCCCGCCTGGCGTCGTATGGGGTGGTGTGCATGCAGTCGTTCCCACCATCCTTGACTGGAATCAAGCTCCAGTAACGTTTAGTTTTGTATCCTTGCTACATTGAGTGCCTATTCCGATGCGCGCCGGACTTTGTCGCGCTCTCCTGAACAGTTAACTTATTGTCACGGCAAACCTATCACCTCCTAGAGTTTTGAAGCTACAGCAATGGGAGACATATCCTTCGATTCGCAATTAAAATATCTAGAGATTGGTCGTAGCATTTTTTCAATTTCGTTATAGTTTTGAAAATATTTTGAAAAAGGGGGGGGGGAATAGGGAAAAATCGAAAAATTTTCGAAAATTTTGGGAAAAATGCTCCTACATCCACAAAAATTCGAGGAAAGCTACGACGAATCGATAGATATGGTCCTTACGCATAGAATGATATGCGTCTCGATGTTGTAGCTTCAAATCCTAGGAGAAGATAGATTTTTACAGTACCCCCTTTTTTGGTCGTTTTCTAAGAATTTCACGTTTTCTTTCATTTTTTTCGAAAAATTTACATGATTAAAAGCTTTTTATGTTTAGGTTTTACATAGGTGTCCCGAGTTTCAGTGTGATCTGTCTGTAAATAGCCGAGAAAAAAACACAAGACGCTCCCCATAACGTGCCCAATCGTATTTTGTAATTTACTCATGTAGACGAAAAAGAGTTCATTGAAAAGTAACGTTACCGCATTATCATTCGAAATACCTACCTTTGTGGCGGATGGTATAGTTAGGGCTTGCTATATAATGGAATAAACCCAGGTTCTATAAGTCGGCGATGGTTTAGAATGGTTTATTTACACATGACGGACAATGAAGTATAGACAGGCATATGAATGACGAGACACAGATTGAATAGCTTGACATGTGATATGGACGCTTGCTAGTGATTGACTGACATAAATGAGAAGAATGGACTAACATTACTTACTAACTACAAGTTACGGGACGATCCCGTAAGTTACGGTCGGGCTTACGTCAGTTTCCCCGACAACCATCATTCACCATCAAAACAGTTGTGCGCAGCGTGATGAAGAGTTTAACACAATGATGTTGTGAGACTATAACATTGAACTATAGGTGAACTGTGTAATTGAACATTAGTGCAATGCATATAGACAAGTATCTAAAATTTTTAGTAGTGATAAGCAACAGGAAAGTGATTTATGAATACTAATTCACCAGTTCCTCAGGCAAGCCCAGGTAGGCGGCCACGGCAGCCATGATATCCTCCCTGACCAGCATGGCTTGGGGGCTGCCGAAGCCCCTGAAGGCGGTGTTCGAAGGCAGGTTTGTGAGGCACACGTACCCGGTGACCCGCATGTTGGGACAGCTGCGGTGAACCAAATGCGTAGCGTTCAAAATTTGCCACATAATTACTTGATTATTTGATTTTAAAGCCGTTTTTATTAATAGTTAAGAAAATAAATAAATCATTATTTATGTCAGTGGACTTTGATGGCAACGGTCTAAACGTGCGACTTATAGATCGATATTCAAAGAGTAACACGTTCTGAAAATTGACCCGTGCTGCACCTGCAACACGGCACATGAGGTACGTGTTGTACGCATCTGTTTTGTAGAGGCGGTGTTGGTGTCTATTCAATAAGCAAACAAATTCTGGTTTCCCCAAACTTTTAATAAATAACTATAATAATAAACAAATGACGGATACGAGAATACAAATGAATAAACCGCGTATTTCCTTAGCACTTTAACTCCGGCCTCAGGTTTCGGAGCCTTTCTGCAAATGCATAAATAAACAAATTACAGACACTAACGATTCAGAATATAATGCATACATGGCGAAAGGTGACAGCCGCGGTACGGTCGCGGAACGTACAGCCGTAAATATGTGCGCAAGTTACGGTCGTTTACAACAGTCGTACGGCTCAACGGAACTGCAACGGATCACACGCTTTTTCCGGTAAAATTAGGTGATTTTACATGAGGATGATTTAACTGTTAGATTTCGGACTTCGATTATGTTCAGCTCACCTTTTTCATGGACTAGAGATTTTTGTTAACGTAGGATGTGAACTTGAAATTCTCAATTTAATATGAAATGTATCAGTGTTTCATTAAAACCCTCTCTTTGTACTATATTTTGCCGGAACCTGTCCAAAAAGAGAACTTTTTTCACGTGCCAATCAAGTGCCATTCGGCAAACCACCAGACAAAACGATAGGTAATTAATACCGGTATCTTGAACCTGAACCTGAACGTAACGTAAAATTGGTGGAGTAATCACTCCGAGTCTCCAACTTAAAATATATGAGACGATAGGAAACGTCTACGTCTCTCTTTCATTATATATTTATTTTCCAATTTAATCAAGTTGAATTGGTTTATTATATGAGGAGAAATATTGTAGAGCAGAGTGGGATGATGAGCACGAGGGTGAGGTACCTGAAAATGGTAAAATGAGTTGTGTCGCAGGGTTTTGACCTGATTCAAAAACTTTGGAACCAATGGGAGGCGCCTTTCATACCACTAAACGACATTTCCCACATCAGAGGACGCCGCCACGCCAATCATACCAGGAGACGAGACTACTCACACCTTTACTCGTGTACACTTGCATAAATAAATGAGCGGCTGTACTCACACCAGTTGGTGCCACTCGTTTTCTCCAACTCCACTCACACCAGGATTTTTGCTCCTTTTACCAGTAGGTAAAGACTATCATACCTGTTGGCGAGGCCAATAATACAAGACGGCGCCACAAGCTTGTGAGCATCGCTCCTCTTAGCAGTAAGCGACGCCTATGATATCAGTAAGCTGCATCCAATTGAACATAAACCTCACTATCATAGCATCCTTCTTGAAAAGACTATAAAAAATAATAAAACGTTCAAAAAATTACTCCCCTTATCACTCCCTCCGTGTAAATTATCCACAGCCCTTGTGGGTCCCCATCAAACCCTATTCACCTACACTCAACCTCGTTATGCGGTGTGCCCGGTGTCAATCTGGCGTCTCATTATAATCATTATTTATATGTTTACTTGACCTGATAGATTGATGACATGAGTCAGCATCTGGAAGACATCACGCGATAGATCACGCGATCAAGACCTTAGTTGTGGGCGGAAGCGAAGGCTTTATAAGGGCTAGTAACCTTACTAAGAGCCCCCCATTTGCAGTAGTTGACAAGCGTTCTGCGATGTAACGCGTCGGTTGAGTTCTCCGACCTTACAGTCGACGCCGCAGCTTATACCTCTGTGTTGTAACTCATGTACAGTATAACCACCCCGTATATCAAGATATGTTTTCTAGACAGATGTGTCTTACTTATCCTTCACGACCTTAGTCACGTAACTCGATCCTCATGTAGAGCTTAATCGATGAGCTCGGACAGGTATGCGCATTTTCATCTCCTACTGTCTTTTCCAATTTTCCCTCCTTTTTCTGGCTACTTTGCGCCAGCTCTTGTTCTCTTCTAATCTTTCCTAGTAGCACCGCTCCACCACACTATGAACATCTTTCCTCATACCAGTAGGCGTTGTCAGACGTCAACAGCGCGCGCTCCATGACTCCGCGGGAGAGGTCCACAGAGCAGCCGGCATTGGAGAAGAGGTCCGTTTCAACAGCCACCAGCACCCCAGACGAAGTGAAGCTCGCCCGCCACCTCCCAAGGAAGGGGTGACGAGCCCCCGTCAGCAGCATGTCTTCCGCGCGCTCTAGTACCACACGAACGGGGTGCTTCGTCCTGTTGGAAGAGCTCTGTAAGGCGAGTGGTGCTGGTGGGCTGTGAAGACGGGCGGTGTTAGCCACTCATTCAATGGCATCCTACGAACACTCTTACTGCAGCCAACCAATGCCTTCAAATACCAATGTATTTGAAGGCATTCTGTAGCCGGGTATATACCTCTGAAGGCAATCGATGAACAGTACCCAAGCAATTATTCTATAGCACAGATCATGATAAAAAACTGAACAAACCCATCATTTCAACGTTTCAGCCCCCGCCGAAAGCCTTCCAATGTAATCAATGAACTCCAAGACTTGAACTTTGGCCGCCGAGTTCCATTGCACACCAAGCGGGGTATTTTGTACATAAGCATTTGCACTAATGTTGAAGTGATCCAGGAGTAGATTGCAGCCATCATGAGTTTATTAATCTCTATTAGTTGATTTTTTTATCTGGAGTATCTGAAATCAAATGTATCTAACAGCTGGTCCAAATGCATATAAGGCAATTATATACTCCTGAATCGATAATAATATGTAAGACAATAATGAAATTTCAACATTGAAACGTCTGATGAAACTCTCACACGCTTGCGGCAACAGCGGCGGGCACCGACGCCACGACGGGGCGCGACTCCTTGCCGCCAAAACCGCCGCCAAGTCGCTTGGTCACGACCACCACTTTGTTGGCCGGCATCCCCAGCGCACGCGCCACCCGCGCCTGAGTCGCTTCCGGGCACTGCGTCATACTGCCCAGAAGGAAGCATCTCGGAGATTGAGTAACTACTGAGGGCTTGTCATAATGAGGGGACATGATAACATGGGACTGGTTTTGCCATGGGTGGGATTCTCACACATTTGTTGGTTCAGCATTGGCTCGTTAGTAAAAGGCAAATAGTACGAAATCGTGTAACGCAAATTCATTTTCGGTCCATAGTCACCAATAGAATGAATGTAATAAGCTGGCGCTACTTTTTCCACATGCGCATCCACATTGTTCTGGTGAACAGTTTTAAAATCGGTTATTTCATTAGATATAAAGATATGCTCCCTGCTCATATGCGATTGTCCCTGGTTTAATAATATTGTTGTGTACGATATGCATCTGCGAACGTCGGGATGACGTCACGCAATCTGTATTCCAGGGTCTCTGAGCATAAAGGCAGGAGTTGTAGGACCGGACAGTTGCTATCGGGCGCCCCTCATTCGGCTGTGCGCACTCACGCCGAGCAGTGTGATGTCCCTGTTTCTGACAGTGACTTTAAAGTGTTAGCTTCCACCTCCGGTACTTCAGATTTGCGTATTTTGGAATCATTGTACATTTTTAAACTTAGGCCCAGTTTACATTCAGCTGTTAGCGCCTATCCTCTTGAAATTGTGAATAGATTGGTTTTGTGCCCTATTACTTGTAAATTTAGTTTTTTAAATGTGTTCTGTGCCTTCAATTAAACTAATTTGTGACTTTCTATGTGAATTCTAGATTCCACGAACTGACGATGGAGCTGGACTCCGAAACGTTTTCTATAAAGTTATAAATTTTTGTGGACTATTCTTTGCTTTTAAATTTTTAGTTAACTTGCGATTCAAGCAAATAAGTGACATCAACTCATTGAAGAGACATTGGCACGAAAATGAATAATACAGGGTGTGGCAGTACCGATTGAGCAGTTTTGAGGCGAAATAAAAGAGTAATAGAGGTACATAAAAAGAAAGTTTATTTTTCTCGAGGTTAGCATAACATACCATTTAGAATACTTATGTTTGAAAATAATATGAGGAAGATAGTGGCCGTATAGGCTGCAACACACTGGTGGAGTCGTTCTCGGTGTCTCTGAGGGGTGATTTACAGTGGTCTTCGAGGTCTCCCGATTTGAGAATTTGCGATTTCTTTCTTTGGAGATATGTAAAAAAAAGGGTGTTCAGAAGTCGCCCTCATACCCTTCTACAGCTAAGGGAACGAATTATTGCAGAGGTAAAGGCCATATCTCGCCATATGTGCGAACGTGCGGTAGGAAACTTCCGAAAACGACTCCAACAGTGTGTTGCAGCTAACGGCCACCATCTTCCTAATATTATTTCAAAACATAAGTATTCTAAATGGTATGTTATGCTAACCTCGAGGAAAATAAACTTTCTTTTTATGCACCTCCATTACCCTTTTATATTTCACCTCAAAACTGCTCAATCGGATCTGCCCCACCCTGTATGTTAAAGCGTATTATAGTGAGCCGTGCAAAGAAAATCCACACGAAAAACATAACTCAGGATATAAATAGGGAAATATTCTTGAATGGTAAACGTATTCATACTAATAAATTGTAAAATAATTTTGAGAAAAGCCATGAAAATATAATGAGGCGATAACTTGAGGCTGCAACAATGTCAAGCAAATACACAGGCTTCTTCAAAATGAGTCTAATTAAGGAAATTCAAACATTACTAAAAATGGCGGATGAAATATTGCAGAAATTTAAACACGCAACTGAATAGAAGTTAAGTTGTCTATGGATGAGACAAATTATCTTGATCCAGACACTTACCAAAAAGGAATCAAGTCGTTCTTTGCGGCAGAAAACATGAACAATAGTTTTTTCTAAGTTTACGAATATCCCGAAGAAATAACTTGATTAAATATCATGAGATATAAAAATTTGCAGGGGATAGTTTTCAATGCCCAAATTTATTTTGTGATTTCAAATCTCCGAGCTCGTCGAGAATAGGGTATGTGAAATGTAGTAACACAACTCAGCCAGAGATTGATGAAGTCAGCGTCGAGCAAATTCCTAAACTACAATCTATGTATTGTTACGCATCCATTGTAGCAATTCCATTTTAAAGCATTGATGTAACACACCTAATGCAAGAAAAAAGTTGTAGTAACACATTTAATATTACTTAACTATTGTACCCATTTATTGTAACCATTCTATTGGCCCTTTACTATCACAAATTTTTAGTAACACATTAGTCCGCTTTATGGTGACGCTTTAGTGACAAATCTTCAGTAATATCCGAACTCCGCAGGCGAGATGGTCGTAAGATGATCAATGATTCGTGCAATGATCCGTGCTGAACATGACATACGTTGCGTTAATCCTAACGGACACTATGATGATACATAAATGATGTATAATGAACAACGCCATATTGGTGGCGTTGAACATCATGTACACTGTGACGCACATGATGTAGGTTGCGTTAAACATAAAGTACGCTGACCAGACCGATGGGTTGCCCGATGAACTTGACAGACTTGCTAGCGAAGACCTCTTCATCTTTCACGATCTCGCCGCACACGTTGCGTTCGCCTGCGTCATAGTGCGTGTTAAGTACATCGGTACAATGGGAACAGGGTACCAATTGCAGCAGTATTGGATAAATAACTGACTACAGTTGCATCAATTGCACCGTGAAATAAATGAATAATATCTGCTAGAAAAATATAGTCGGATGCATACTATTTGTTTGCTACATCTTCCAGAGTTGCAGGAATATATCGTTCCTACGCCAATCATTCTAGAGAGCGGCTAATTTAATGTTGCTAATGAAGTATAGGATAATTTTTACCCATGCTGGGTGTGGGATGGTTAACCTCGAAATATTTTTCGTGAGAACATATTTTTAACTACCCCACGACCATTTTCATAACATAAACCGATAAAAACGAAACCAAGTTCTCACGCATCCGCTTCAGTCTTTCGCACGTTCAAATTTTCAGTGAAAACCCCGAGACACAGCGGAAAGTATGACTATATTTGCCCAGCACCTCGTACCCCACGAAATAATTGCGGCTCTTCTGATAGTGACGAGTCTCACTATCCAAATATTTTTAAGGATTTTTCACCAGCTTTAGAGTCCCCGTTACTTGCTCCCACAATTTACAGCAGCAAATGCCACCTTTTCTCACCCGGTACGTCTTTGGCGGACACGAAGGCGTGGACACCGGCCACCGCAAATGCAGCAGAGGCGTCGACTGAAACGATGTCGGCTCGAGCCTCAGTGGACAGGACGAAGGCACCGAAAAGCTCGTTGACGTAAGGCGGTAGGTCGTCCACGTAGGTCGCCTCCCCAGTTACCTGCTGCAGGGCTGATGCGTGCACCATGGGCCTTCCTACAGGGTCCTGCGATGGCTGGTCTGAGGGTACCTAAGGAAGAGGGTAATGAGGAAGTGAGCAGGAAATAATCATTAACACAATTTAGAAATCTCGATTAAATAAGCAAACGGAATAAAATAAATGCGAAATGGTAGCAAATCGTGTCCTTTGAATTAGAAAGTTTGGGAAGAAGGTGTCTGTTTGATAGCATGCGTGGGCAGAGCCCGAGACCCGCCCATTTGCATACTGTACAACGAAAACTGCGTTTGAAAAAAATGATTTTTAAAGGGGTAGCCAGTAAGCCGCAATATGGTGCAGAAGGATTACGTAAACTCGTATGAAAATAGAACATTCAAACCTTATGAGGTAAGTGACGGGAAACCTTAACTGATAAGTCCCCTATCTTTGCAGTCATAATAGCATACAAAATCTGTCCAAATTAAGAATACTTTTCACAGATTTTCAATACAGAAGAATGCCTGGCAAAGTAAGCACGAAGCACTTACCCTAACACCATCCCTTCTGCACATACTAAACTTCTCTCCACTGTAGCCGCTCTGTTGTTGCCAGGGTAATTGAAATAGCTTATTTATCTTCTCTAAATCCTTTACTAACTCCATTTACCATTCCTTATTGCATTATTTTATCTCCCTCAATTACCTCATTACCAACTAACCCAATTTACCACAACTACAACAACTTCTGAGCACAGTCGTGCAGCCGACCTGCTCGTAGAGATGAGTTGCCCTGTGAGGAGGCCGTTTGTTGGACCCCAGCAGCTCCTGATGGTGCGGTGCCACGGGTGCCACACTCGGCATGGTCTTGCTCAGCTCGTGGCGTACGTGCAGGTAGAACTTGAAGAAGAAACTGCAATAAAGTTCAAGTGGTAATTTGACGACGAAGATGAACTCAGGTTACAGAGATCGTGTTCGTAAGTGGTGGTGAGGGCTACAAATCAGTGAAGGGATGCCTTGTTCTGCCACACGAATGAATCGAATGAAACCTCATGATCCTTCCCTTCACGGCATCATCGTCAGTGTGTATTTTTTCAATTTGATTCTATGTTGAATTATAGATCATATAGATTCTTCTCTACGGACAGTTTCTTTATGATCAATCTAGATGCCCATACGAGGAAATCAAGTCGGATTACCTATCTAATAATTATCCTTATTAACTATCATGATCGTTAGACTTGATTCGAACTGTGCCCTGCTTTTACGCTGCTTAATCTTTGATTGAATGCCCATCTCCTCACGTCACGGTCATTGCCAATTTTTTATTTTATAAGTGCAATTAAAATACAAGCCCGTGCATATTTTCATTAGTTTTGAGTTGTTCATTTTGTTGTATTTAATGTATTGATTCATGAAGACACATTCGAATGTTCACGGTCGAGATCTGATGCAGAGAATTGAAAGATAAAGTATTATGTTCCTGACAGATGAGCTTCCGTTATATTCCAGCGCCAATAAACTAATTTTTTGATGTGAATGAAATTATTGAGGATTATTTAACAGGACAACACACGACTTCCTTGTAATTTGCTAGCTCCGACTTCGTTGTAATTCGCTAGCTCATATTCGCTGCATTATCTAATCGCAGTATCAATTATGTATAATTCTAATAATTTACAAATGTTTAGGATGGAAGATTATATTTTCATTCATTATCATTTATTTCATTATCAGTCATTTTATCTCGCGTATCGTTCATATCTTGAAGTTATTTTAAGGTTTTCATAACAATTTTAGTTGCTTCAGATCCCTCTAATTTTCTCTCCAACGTCTAGACGTTTGGCATACTTTATATGACTATTAAGCCTGCCTCACATAAATATGTTTGGCCTGCCTCACATGACTATGTTTGGCCTGCCTCACATGACTATTTTTAACCTGTCTCACATGAGGCACGCCAATCCCCCAACGTTTTTTTTTGGGGGGGGGGATCCCAAGGTATCGGATTGGAGTCCAATTTTCAGGAACATGAGAATTCTGGGAGAAAACGGGACTAAAATTCGAAAGAGTCGAGAGGCACTTCACAAAATTTACATCGATAACTTAAAAGGAAATAAATAAGTTTATTACCTGGGCACAAGTGCAGCTCTATAAGCTGTCATGCCCCCAGGGGCACTGGGCGCTATCTGCACCTCCTGCAGCAGGGATGACGTCACCTCCTGCAGCAGCTGCTCATCCCACCTACGGCCCTCCATCGCCTGCAGGAGAAAAGAGAATCAAACCACAAAAGGAATTAAAGTCTACGTGTGAATCCCACATGCACAGTACCCGCACAGCGGAGAGGAGTAAAAGTATGTGGTATTGAACTTATTGTTGAATTTTTTTTCCGGTAGTGAAATAATAAAGCAAAACATGGATGTGGAGTTTCTAACTTAATTACGTGCTACCAAGACCTAGGGCGGTACTGTGCCAGAAGCTGCAAGGCACGTGAAGTGTGATAGAGCAGAACCTGCCCGCTACCTGTCCAGTACGTCTCAGCCCAGTTCTTGCCAAGCACCCGCCCAACATCTGCTCAGCACCAGCCCAGTCAAGTTCAGTGGACTGGGACTTGGCCTGGACTGGGCCAGTCCAGTCTCTGTAAAGCCCCTGCGCAGTTCCTGTCCAGCACCTGCCCAGTACCTGCCCAGCATCTGTCCAATACCGGTCCAGTACCTGTCCAGTACCTGCCCCAGCACCTGCCCAGCACCTAACCCAGTACCTCCATGGTGCGTGTCGCCTGCAGCGTGGTCGCAGCGACGCCTCCAAAGGCTATGTTTGCGGTTGCCACGTGGTCGCCGCGCATGCGCACCAGCAGCGCCGCGTTCACGATGGCGATGTCATCATCGCGACGGCGTGACTGCTTGTAGCCGCGGAAATATTCCTCCTAAAAGATTAGGAATATTCTATATTATACCCGAAAAACTAAAATATTTTCTTTCCTCAGGAATGCCGAATATCATTTTTCGCTACGCGTTGTGCATGATATTTTGGCTAAATTATTTCATTGTCCATTTCATGTTATGCATGCTTGAGCGTAACAATTGGATTATTAGACGTTTGATCTAATTGCCTGACGATATTGCATCTGCAATGTATTCTCTGCAATTTAGTACAGTGCGCAATTAGATTCCTGAATTTAATACGATCGAGAATGAAGACTTGGCCAGTTTCTGGTGGTGAAGTTTATGCCAGTAATAAGGTAGTGAGGGTGGTGCCATTACTAAGGTACCTAGTGAAGATGGTGACATTAGCAAGTTAGTGAGGGCGGTGCCATTACTAAGGAAGTGAAGATGGTGACATTACCAAGGTAGTGAAGATGGTGACATTACCAAGGTAGTGAAGATGGTGACATTAGCAAGGTAGTGAGGGTGGTGTCATTACTAAGGTAGTGAAGATGGTGCCATTAGCAAGGTAGTGAGGGTGGTGCCATTACTAAGGTAGTGAAGATGGTGACATTAGCAAGGTAGTGAGGGTGATGCCATTACTAAGGTAGTGAAGATGGTGACATTACCAAGGTAGTGAGGGTGGTGCCATTACCAAGGAAGTGAAGATGGTGCCATTACCAAGGTAGTGAAGATGGTGCCATTACCAAGGTAGTGAAGATGGTGCCATTACCAAAGTAGTGAAGATGGTGCCATTACCAAGGTAGTTAAGATGGTGCTAGTACCTGTGTGGTGAAGGGGATGGTGACGGCCACCAAAACCTCGGTGCTGGAGACATCACACGTGCGATAGCCCGTAAAGAACGTCGCGTCCATCACCCGATCGCGCGCACCACCTGACGAGTCGGAGGTCATTATTTGTGGTGAAAAGGAGACGTGATCACTTGCTCTTGCTCTAAAATGATGTAAGTCTTTTTGAGTATTACTTGACTCATCAATGCTGATGTTCCTTGACGCGTCTTTCAACTCAAGGGATTACTTGTCAGGGTGCCTTGTACTAGTCGAGTTCATCAAATGTTGAGTTTACCAGTTCAAGGGTTCATCAATCATTGGTTTACCACTCGTTGTGTCCACTAGTCCAAGGGTTCATCAATCATTGGTTTACCACTTATCGGGTCCACCAGTCCAAGGGTTCATCAATCATTGGTTTACCACTCGTTGAATCAATTGGTTTACCACTTGTTGGGTTCACCAGTCGTCGGGTTCAAAAGTCGCATGGTTTATTTAACGTCCAGTTTACAAGTAGTTGTTCAATCAGTCATCGGCTAACCAGTTATCGGTTTACACGTCATTGGGTTAACCAGCCGTCGGTTGTCCAGTTTTAGAGTTCACCTATTGTCGGTTCACCAATTGTTTTCAAAATAATTATCATTCATGACAGTCCTGACAATTTCAACTTATATGTCGTTCCTATAAATGTGTGACGGTAACTATTGAGCCGAAACTTGTCATCACCTGTCAGGCTGTCGAGATGCAGCACGGAGCGGGACGCCAGCAAGAGCGGGTTGAGGTCACTGATGGGAGAGCTCGTCATGATGTTGCCCCCGAGACTCTATGGAATAAAATATGCCTGCATTGAGGAAATAAATCTTAAAACAACTTTTTCGTTACTATATACAATATACATGTATGTTTTGTCACATATTTCTCCCACATGGGGCGGAGATCTGGTTATCTGGCACATGTGCGACAAAAGAAATGATGCTGAATCCTCATGCACAGTTTGATATAGCAATTAGGTGTGATACTGTAGCCATGCAAGTTTTGATGGAAATGACATGAAGCTAAAATTATTCAACTCAATATAAATTAGAAACATAATTTTAATAAGTGTCCACTGATTATTTTGTGAACATAGGTCATATAGAATACATTTTATGTGCAAGATAAACATGTCAGAGGATTTTTAAACGGGTCCTTGAGCATCTATCAAGCTTTTGCAAGATTTAAAAATATTCCTTGATTAGTCTAAGTCAAAATTTCAAAACACATTCTGATTTTCAGTGATATCCAAGAGAAAATAGAGTGCATGGCTTTCACCATTTTCTAAGCGAGTAAGAGGGCCAATTTCGTGTGGCAACTTATTCACGCCAGGCCTATCTCAATTGTAACTCTTTCTATTATGCGGTCTGATATAAGAAAATAATATTCATATGAACGCGAATTTTATCTCGTGTGTCCTCCGATAGTGGCTTGGAATTAAATCAATGAAACATCTTCAAAATATAGTATGACACGCAATATTTTTGTCAATTACTAGCAAAAACGTTCAGAACTGCGTTCAACTAATAACCTCAAGCATAAAATTTGTGCGGATTGCAATCGTCAGAATCCAATGTTGTCTGCAGATCTTCGCTGGTATATTAATATTTAGCTGCATTTTCCTCCAGTTGTATTATAAACAATAATAACCACAAGACACTATCAGTAGAGTGATAATATAACCAAGATAATGAAACACTCACGGCCACGTTCCTGATCTGCTTGCCGGCGAACCACTTGAGCATTTCCAAGATGGCTGCCAGTACGCCAGTCTTGTACGCTGCACCAAATATGCAATAAATAAGTAAGCCATATTCTATAGATATCTTATATAATTAAATGAGAACTATTATTCTAAAACGAGCGTCTCATTTGGTCAAACTTCTACAGCAAACTAACTTTGGGAAATTTGTAAAGCCTCAATTAATATCGTATCAGATCAAACTTATTAATATATTGACATATTCTTACAATTAGAATATTATTAGTATATTATAGTGAGAATAATGTTAATATATTGATCGATTATATCAGTTAAATACCCTGACAACCACCTGGCATGGAGCTGATGATCTCCACCAGCTTTCGCTCCATCTGCGTTAGCGTGACAGCTGCTCCAATACGCACTCCCACATCACGAACCTCCACCTGCTCCATCTGGGGCACTCCAGACACGCGCACCAGCGCTTTGTACAGCTGGTGCTTCATGCGCACCTCCACCCCTTTGAGAGATGCGCATATAGGGGCTTGTCATAACGAGGGGACATAATCACATGGGACTGGTTTTGCCATGGGTGGGATTCTCACACATTTGTTGGTTCAGCATTGGCTCGTTAGTAAAAGGCAAATAGTACGAAATCGTGTAACGCAAATTCATTTTCGGTCCATAGTCACCAATAGAATGAATGTACTCAAGTTGTTGATCAAAATTTTTAAATAATGCCAGGGTACTTTATTAATAATACGGTTGCGAAGTTGCAGCTAGATATACTATATTTCTTAAGTATATCTGGTTTACTTCTATAGTTACTTCTTTCGCAAGTAAGAATTTGTGTTTTGGCGTAAGCGAGTTAAACACATCAAGTTAATAAAAAACAAAGACAGTAATGAATTGTATAAAGAATGAGATCTCGCTATCGCGCTGATCGAAATAACAGAAAAAACGGTCTAACATGCGTTATAGTGGCCACCGTCCCGTGTATCAAACAGATTCCATGTTTTATCTTAATTTGGTACCGTATTCTTGCGCTGAGTTGGAAAAAGAATGGCGACACGATTTTTTTATTGCATGGGCCGACCGGCCAATGAATTTGTGGTCAAACCTTTTTACGGTGTTTTTTTTTCGAACAGTGCATTAATGCAACAATGCATAAAAATTATAAGATGATCGCCTCATTTCCTATTACCTGAACACTCGCATGGCTCCGCACTCCTCCGGCACAGCGAGGTGAGCGTTGGGCTCGAGGTAGAAGTGCTCCTGGCCCCCTAAGTGGATCTCCCCAGTAAGGGTGTGGTCTGCGCTGGCGTGGGCCGTGTCGACGTCGCCACATGTGATGCTGAATGGCGGTAACCACGTCTTGGCAGCGATTGCTTCCTGGGGGCAAGGCTGCCTTCAACTGCCATTCAGAATAAGCTGGCGCTACTTTTTCCACATGCGCATCCACATTGTTCTGGTAAACAGTTTTAAAATCGGTTCTTTCTTTAGATATAGAGATATGCTCCCTGCTCATATGCGATCGTCCCTGGTTTATCAATATTGTTGTGTACGATGTGCATCTGCGAACGTCGGGATGACGTCACGCAATCTTTATTCCAGGGTCTCTGAGCATAAGGGCAGGAGTTGTAGGGCCGGACAGTTGCTATCGCGCCTCCCTCATTCGGCTGTGTGCGCTCACGCCGAGCAGTGTGATGTCCCTATAGTAATTCTAGCTAATGTTTAAGATTACATAATTTTTTTAACCACTCACAAGCAGTTCAGGAGGGAAAATAATCTCCTGCGAAGGGTCGTATGGAGCGCAGCTGGTCGCATCGAACAACTCCTCGACCATCTGGCGGTCACTGCAGGGCTTGCTGTCCTCGGTATCCGCACTGGGACCGTTCTCTGTTGACGTAAATATTCACGAATTAATTACAAAAATCAAGGGAGGTTATCGAAACATCTGTCGTATTAACGAGAAACTAATAGAAGAAACTCGTCGCTGACGAGCTTGATGCCCGCTTATAAGTGAGCCAAAACCTTCAGTTTAGCGCCCTCAGATTTCATCACTTGTAGTGTGGTTGTTGTGGTGCTGTAACTGTTGATTTTTTGTCACTGTTGACCCATGGCTGTATTCGAAGTGTATGCAGTTGACTTGCGGCTATAGGGAAATTGTTGCAAACGTTGACACTATGGCAGTTGACATTTTGAGACCTTTTACTTTATAGCATCACAGAGAAGTTGTTTATTTTGTACTCTTTTTGTATTCTCTTCGTACTCTCTTTGTATTTTTTTCGTCTTCTTTCTTATCGTATTCTTTCTTATCGTAGTCTTTCTTATCATATTCGAGAGGTGGTTTCTCTTCTCACCCAAGTGATGTCTTGCCTATCTCGCAGCTTCGCGTATATCAAAAGCACGATAATGTAACAATGTAGAATGAGGCACAAACATACTCAGTAAAAATTGAGATTGATAAGAAATATAATTGGAATATTTGCTAAGTATAAAGCTGAACGATTTACAATTAAAAATTTATTGGTAAAGCATTTCAAGATAATAATAATTCAAATTATTTCAGTGCCTGTCTTATACCAACTCATTAAAATACGGCTCAAAATATTACGAGAGAACGTTGCAAACACAAACAAAACAACAATACAATATAATTTGTTCTAGAAATCTACGTACAAGGTAGCAAAGATTATTTTATTTTTTACCTGAGTTAGGCAGTTAAAACGTCAATAACTCTGCAACAATCTGTTGCAGAGTTATTACCCTTCATACTATACTTGCTTCATACTTGTTCCGATCATACTTGTTTCCAAGATCTTCATACTTGTTTCCGTCTGCTGATCTACGCTGCTTTAGCGTGATTTTCCCAGCTATAGTCTATCCTGACCCCAAGATTGTCAAAGTTATTAAAAGTTAATGGGTGTTAAATGAGATGAATGAGAATTAAATAGCGAAGGCGTAATGCTCCACAAAAAAAATCATTTATTAATGTGGATTGTCGTGTTTCATCGTCATCGTTATACAAGGTACTTCAAAATAGGCGTCGGTGGCCAAAGTAGGTGGTCAAAGCAGGCGTCGGTGGTGTAGATTACTTCAAAATTTTGAAGTTATGCGTGTTTTTGAAAGGCGCAAATTTGGTGTTATATCCTAGCAAGTTTGGTATTATATCCTAGCAAATTTGGTGTTAGTTACTGTATATCTCCATGAACATCACATTTGCGTTAAAGTTGTCTCTTAGCGATTGTTACCAGAAATCCTTGCACCTAATCCTTATTGCTGACGGGAGAAACTGGCACTGTGTTGTCCTAAGATTAATTCTGCAAGTTTACTTTGCGTAGGGTTTCTGAGAGTAATGTTGTGTTACAGGATGTTCGTCTTTTTGTACGTCCGTTTTTTGCAATAATTTGTACGTGTACCTATTTTTTCTCAGAATTACTCCTTGTTTTATTTGTTACTTGGACTGTCTGGCCTGTTTTCGATATGGGCAGTTGACGCCAGGTGTGCGATGATCGTTGTGGCATTTGAAATATTTTTTAAATGGGTGGCACTTTTAAGGAATTTATGTGTTCCATATATAGCGGCACACTTGGAACATGCATAAGACGTTCAAGCGCATTTTTGAGTGGGGCGATCTTCCATTTCGTAGAATTTAGAGCAAATAAGTAGGTGAGTAAATCTTTCATGCTCGCAGTGTGATCAAACGGGCGATATGAGGTTACCAACGTCCTTGTTTATAGTTGTCTTTAGAAAGTTTTTCTTTTGGCACGAACAGTTCCGTGGTTTTAGATCAGGTCAACTAATCGATGACAAAACATCTTCCGTTACGAAGTAAACAGCATTCGTTGTATCTACCATACGAATGAGAGGTGCAGATCTTGTTCCTTGAAAGGCGTTTAAAAAATTTTTAGTCGATCAATTGTTCATCGAGGTTCAATTATTTTGAGATGGATTCGGTAATTCTGATGTCCCGAGCGTTCAAAAGATAAAGCTTGATGAGGAGATCGAGAGGTGATGAGTTTGTTAGGCGAGTAACGAGATGAGGATGAGGGTAATCTAGATTGAGGGTTGGGATGTGACCCCCTAGTCCTCATGAGCAAACCCATCGGGGACGGGGTTTGACCCTACCATTTCGTAGTGTCGTCAATGCTAAACTGCAGCTTCGGTACGCTTTGCTCTGTTATCGGTTATCTAGAAACTGCTCCACCCATCAAGCCGACCGGTAAATACACTCTAGCAGGCAGCCTCTAGCTATTTTGTAAGCCATCTTAACTTTAGCCTTGTGTTTTTTATTTATAACTCCAGTAGCTTCCAATCGGGCCAATTTAAATATAATAAAGCAAAAATGCAAAATTATCGATGCCATTAAAAGAAACAGAAATTAAATCAAAGTTAAGACCCAATAGGCTGAAAAATTATTTATTTACCAAAGCAAATGAAATTTGTACACTTTCCAACGTGAAATTAGTTTGAAAAACAGACCAATTTGATTGACATTGGTCAAAATACTTAAATAATAAAATACAGCCCCAGTTCTTACCAACTCAAATGTGCTTATAAAATGAGGGATTGTCATAAGTGAAAAAAAGATTTACGTACAATTTTTCTATTTTATATGACAACACTCAATCGCTGCATGGAAAAATCAGCTTTCTCTCTAGCTTTTTAATCTCATGTAGACCCCCACCTTGATTGCATGGCTACATTTTCTTAACGCAATGATAATATTGAATGAGAGGCCACAACATCAGTGAGTGACTGGCATTTTCATTCGATCGGATGCATAGTTGTTACTGACACTTGGGACTAAGCTGTTCATCGAGTAAGCATTTTATCCTGAGACATAATATACTCGTAGAATTGTCTTATGAATAAGAATCATTCTTTAACAACAGATCATCCACAACACCATATGAAATTGCAACATTTGGATTAATTTAATCATTTTCATCGATTCGAAAATTTAAAATTGTCGGATAATTTTAGTTTTTCATGTATTTTCTTTAAGACTTGCAGAATACTTACAAAATGCGCATCTCCGACGTTAACTGTCAATTGCTTAGAAACACAACGCCATACCGAACTTGTTAGCTAATACAGTCAGGAAATGTCTCGAACCCGTTGCAACAAGCAACTAAAAAACATATGTTATGAGTTATGAGCTATAAACGTCGAGAATTACAATTTATTTAAATTTTCAACGAACAATATTAACCAATTCATTGCTCCTATTTAGCGAAAAAAAAAATTTAGTTAAGTATTTACTTATACCAAAATAAAAAGCGCGTAACCCCGCAACACAACTGAAGAGCGCGCGTGGGCGGGACAGACAAGCAAGCTACTGTCAACTCAAGTGTCATCAGATGCACGTGGAACACTTGGAGTCTTTAACAATGCCGTATTTGCCTTACTGCATTGTTTAATTGAGGTAATTTTTGTATATTAAAAAGTAAATCACATGCATGCTTACCGAGTTTGTGATTATGATGCATAAGCGCAGAAATGTTAGAAAATTCTAATGAATCTATCGATCACGTCCGGCCTCCGCTGTTCTGATCCAAATATGAAATGCCTGAGATCTCTAGAAGGACGATCTTACGTTTTTAATATACAGTCGACCATGTCCATTTAAATGGATAGAATGTTATTAAATAAACAAACAATATCCATAAAACAAATGTTCTAATTACTTAGCGAAGTCGGTGCTTGAGATAATAATAATGTGGAATTACTCACGTTTCCTGCAACAGTCAGACCGGGCACACGGCGCCTGGGCGTCGCTGGTGAGGCTGCGGAGGCCCTCCAGTATGGGCCTGTAGCCCGTGCACCGACACAGGTTGCCTGCACACAACACAACTTTACTTGTTTCTTCGTTTAGATTAAATTGATATATTATATTTACTCAAGTTATTTATTTAGATAATTCCATTGTTAATATTTATTTCTGGGGAATGTCACCATCATCAAGCACCCACCAACAAGGGCTTCCTCGAGCTGGGCGAGGGAGGGCGGCGTAGGCTGGGAGCGCAGCAGCGCGTACGCCGACATCACAAACCCCGGCGTACAGAAGCCGCACTGCGAGGCGCGTACCACGTCAATTAGACTTAGTAATTATTGAGTCATTTGCAGGAATTAAAAACTCGATTTTTATTTACCAAATTCCAGATGAATATTAATCAGTGTAATTAGTTCAACCATATAACTTGCGTTAGATAACACAATCGGTACGCAGAAACCAAAAGGCTGCATTTTCTATCAAATTAATGAGACGGCCGAATTGAGGTCACTGTAAATAAGACATTTATTTGAGGCCCGCATACAGCCAGCGCAGTGCCCCGCCCAGGGCACCGCTCTGGTGCCGCTCACCGCCGCTGCAGGCGAGATTTCCTAAGTATTTGTTTGGGACGTAGCAGCCCCAGGCCACGATGGATCGCCGCCTCTGATTATTGTTCATCCGCCCTCATTTGGGGCAGTCTCTTATACACATCTAGATGTGTATAAGAGACAGGGTTAGGTTAGGTTAGGTTAGGTTAGGTTAGGTTAGGTTAGGNGACCACTATACACTCGTCCTACTCCTTCATATTTCATTATACACTATTTTCAATTGATTGAACTCCAAGTCATCGTCATTATACGCAGCCCACATATACTTTTCAACGCCATAAAACAGCTTTGTCATCATTTATGTCAACGTCACGATACAGTGAAGAAATGATACTCAGCCTGTCTCTTATACACATCTAGATGTGTATAAGAGACCTGCATTACCATCAGAAGCACTGCATTACTATCTGGTGCACTGCATTACAATCTGGTGCACTGCGTTACCATCTGGTGCACTGCATTACCATCAGGTGCACTGCATTACCATCAGGTGCACTGCATTACCATCTGGTGCACTGCGTTACCATCTGGTGCACTGCATTACCATCAGGTGCATTGCATTACCATCTGTTGCACTGCATTACCAACAGGTGCACTTCATTACCATCAGGTGCACTGCATTACCATATGGTGCACTGCGTTACCATCTGGTGCACTGCATTACCATCAGGTGCACTGCATTACCATCTGGTGCTCTTCATTACCATCTGGTGCACTGCATCTCGAATGTTCAGCGCAGTGCGCTTAGCTTAATTAAAAACATATTGCAATATTTTGAGACAACATATTGCAATATAGCTTTGATCTGTGACAATGATCTTTAATGGACATTATTGGAGCTCTTATATAAAAATAAAGGATACGTTTCGTGCGCAGGTACCACAACAAATTCCATTCTGGGTCCGGACTGTGCTCTTCCACCTGAAAAAAACCAAGCGGTTCAAGTTGATTTGAATATTATTCATTAAAGTTTGAAAAGTGGTGTGATCGGAGTCAACAACATCAATTTATTATTTTGTTCAAATTTAGCACCGGTAATTTTGAAGGTGGATTTTTAATTGAAAGCTATGGTAGCAATCATATCATCCAAATAAATTATTTTCCATCGAGAATTCATGAAGACGAAAAATGAGCCTTCTCACCATAAAAACTTTCTAACTTTCATATAGCTAATAATCGCTATGAAATGCCAATATTTACTCTTAATTTCTCACCTTATTCCCGTTTATGAAGAAAATCAAAGACATTTTTGCCTGAATTTTATAGGTGTTGACCTGCCAGAAGAGTTAATGCAGCTGTCGCAAACCAAAATATTCAAATTCAATCTCCTCCAAGCTGTGTGTATCTTAGGTTATTCAAAATTCACACATTATTATTGCATTAATGCCTGCATTATTCATAATAATAATGCATGCGTTATTCAGACAACATTTCAAATACGATGTATTTTCTAGAAAACCATTAAAAATACAATGCATTATTCAGGCTACTATTGAAAATACTCTGTTTTGTCCAAATCAGCATTAAAGTGGCGATGCATCATAGATTCTGAGTAGCCGCGACTCGTTCACACTATTCGTAGCGTCTGCTAAAAGGCAAAATCAGTAGCGTATAGCGTGCACAACCGCGGCCCTTTATACTGAGTCAACCTATGATAAAGTTCCAGGTTTGGTTTCCGTTGTCATCGATCTCATATAATAGATCTCTGTTTACTGGCCATCAAATTCAAGCGGTCACAGTCGACACGTGAAACTGTGTTTTCTTTTTTTTTCTGAAATGATGTATTTTGGATACACGATGATGGACGATGCTCCACGCACAGAGGGCTCGGGCCGGTCGTCTGCGGTTCCCCTCTAATCGTAATGCTGGCCATGTGGCTTTGAGAGTTCTTTTTTAAATGCTCTTCTAACGGGTTTTCTTTAATTCATATTACTTTATTTCAAATTTTATTGTTTAATGAGAAAACTACTACATTTAGCCATTTTCAAGTTAAGAAAATTATCTTTCGCAAAGACTCCGAACAAAATTTTTTGAACGATTCAAATCTTGTACAGTTTTACAGGATGTCATCTTTTTCCTTGCTCGCTACCTATGCTTACATGGCAAACTGACCATCTCGATATGCCATCACAACCTTTAGCGGGCAGGGTGGACCAGTGGGGGCCCCAGCAAAGCATAATTGGAGCAATGAGTTGCGTGTTCGAGACCGCAACAAGCTGTGAATGTTCAGCGATGGTGAGAATCAGCGACAGGCCTACGGCTTAAATGCTGAAACCGCTGTACTATACTATTATTTTCTATATTCCTTTTTCCAAGCAATGTCAAGTTGGCCAGCCAGCAGAAAAGCAGAATTATTGAAGGATGAAACATAAACACATAAAGTTTTCCTTCCTTAGATACAGGGTACACCTGTCGGGTAAACAAGCTGGTCTTTACGGAGAAGAAACCGCGCCTCGTCAGTGTGATCTGTCAAGTGTTCAATATGCCACCTCCACCAGGTTCCACGTCGCATAATAACAATTAAACCAGGTTTCTTTAGGAATTTTTTTTTGCTTGATTGAACCGGCATGATCATTATAAGTCACATGATAATAAAATTAGAACATTGACCAAAATTATAAACATCGCATTCAAATATTCGCGTCTGAACGAGAGCAATGCATCTGCGCGATTAATCTGTACGGATAATAAAAGCTGGGAAGCAAGAAGAAGAAGAAAAAAAAGGAGTCGAACGCAGCTACAAAAACATGTTGAACAAGTTTGCTGGCGGGACACTAGTTGTGGCACTCGCAACCCTTCATGCACACAAGTACACGTTATGCAGCTCCTTCTTTAAGCCTAGGTGCGATTCACAGTGCAAGGTTACAGAGAAGGCAATCGTTGGTCACTGTGAATAGGGTCCACCCAACTGAAAAAAAACCTTTTTTGCAAACTGGTTGAATAAATGATCCCATAAACACTGAAAAATCAGACCCAATATAGACGAATGAACTTTAAAGCAGCTCTGTGCAAGTGGTGAGTTTCATGCCATGCATCTTGTTGGCCGCTGGGCTGCGAGCAAAAATCCAAAAGAAAAAATGTGCTTAAAAGAATAATAGCAATTGGTATTGACCTACATGCTGTTACCAAGAAATTTTCTGCACATCATTACTTGATAGATACGCGGATGAATATCATCTTATTGGAGGTATATTAAAACAACGACGTGACACTATTTTACATATGCAAAAAAGTGTATACTTTCAAACCAATAGCTGACTATACATCGTTGCCTCAAGTATAGTTTTTACATTCATATTATATTAAACCCACATATTTAGGGATAAACGCAAATTACAATTTAACATATTTACAATTATACTGAACAGTAATTTTTTTATTTTATTTTCTATTATATTACCATTCCATTTTTATTTTATTATTACTTCATTTTTTATTTTACCATTATCTGATTTATTTTTCATTCATTTTTATTTATATTTTTCCTATTTTATTATAGATTTTTCATTTAGTAATTTATTTACTATTATTTTATTTCATTATTATTATTTATTATTTATTTTTTAAAAAGTTTTATTTTTTAACCGACACGCATTCGACAGTACAATCTGTATTCTGAACGAACTTGTATGAACATGTATTCAGAAATTATAACATGTAGTATTGCTACTTTCTTAATAATAAATATTGTCATGAGTTAGTTATGTATGCTAATGTGTTATTTTATTTATAATATGTTATTTATTTATTATATGCCATTTATTTATTATATGTTATGGTGCCGGTGAAGCTTCTTAATTTATATAGGCATTCACAAAGTAGCATTTTGTATTATTTTATCTTCAAATTTCCGATGATCTCTTGTTAAGTATTTTTTGTGTGCTCATTGTGAATAGTGAATAAAGAATATTATGTAGTACTATTATTTTAAATAATTGATAATAATAGGGTTTACACGTACTTTGCTATACTGATTATTGCTTTCGCTGTATCATTCTAAAAAAACTAGATTTAGATTAGTTTGTAGAAGTTTGAAAATTAAAAACCTAGAAACCTAGCTGGAAGCCAAAAAGCCTTGATCTAGGTTTTAAAACCTAGCGCAGGCAGCACTGGTAAGACGTAAGAGCCAATGACCCAGCGGTATACACTATACACTCGTCCTACTCCTTCATATTTCATTATACACTATTTTCAATTGATTGAACTCCAAGTCATCGTCATTATACGCAGCCCACATATACTTTTCAACGCCATAAAACAGCTTTGTCATCATTTATGTCAACGTCACGATACAGTGAAGAAATGATACTCAGCACAGTCATCATGAAGTACATACATCCTTTGTCACTGCACCATAAACCGCAGACACACTTGCCACTATATTGTAAAATAATATCCAAGAGTCTGTCAAAATTTTTACACTAGTAGATTTTTCACAGACCTCGTAGATTTGTATCAGTAAATATCGCATAATCTTATGTGTTTCATACTTAATTAAATTGTTTACGAGTTCCTACCTTGATACGGATAGAAACATTCCCGGCAGGAATCTGACAATGAAATAGCGTCGATTAGGGGATGATATCAGGTTGCAAGGTTGATAAACCCAACTCAATATTAAATCGACGTTGAAATGTGACCATTACTCAGTTAAACATTAAATGAGACCTAAATTACACATTGAAAAGCATCAATTTTCGATCGTTGGGCATTGATTAAATTTTCGCAATCACTTCAATCCAACAAACTCGACTAATTTCAGGTTGGTTGGATTCGAACGTCGTATTTAAACGTCAAACTAACGTCTTCGCATCAACGTTGGATTATGACTGGATATCGTCTCAACGTGAAAAACACACCATCAGATTACTTACCAAATTTTTTTATTGTTAAATTTCCAACAGCATTTCTGCGTAATTTTCTGATTGCTGCATCAACGTTGAATCTTGACTGCAAGATTCGTCGTACATTTTTCGAAACCCAAACGTGTCAGAGCGTCATCACCCATGATGTCATTAGTCTCTCTTACGTCACCTTCGGTGATGTCTCCCTCTTTATAAGCTCTTCAAGCTGACCACCAGTCAGTCATAAGCAAAGCTTCGTAGCTGTCGTCCATTCGCAGCTTACATCAGACGCGTCATCATTTCCAAGTCTATCTATCCTATCGACTCCGGCACTCGCTACCAACTCGCAGTGTCGTAAACTCCACCTTCTTAACTACTTGAATAAAATTTCATCGCACCTTATCCTGTAATCCTATCTATTAATAATTACTACTATGGAAGTGTAAGGTGACAATGTTAATACCATTTGTCCATGAATATTTCCTCATTGATGTCTCCTTATTGAAAGATAATCTCTATCACTGCAATATCTTCATAAACATTTCTTTGAGTTAGCCTTCCCCGTGTAGCAAGTCACGCCCTTAAAGNACAACACAAGTGAAGACTAAGGCGCGACCGGCAGAAGTCGGCTACGCCGCTGCATATGGTCACGTCACATGCACATGGGTTGCATCGTTTTAGACAATCATACTCAATATTAAATCGATGTCGAAAAGTGACCATTAAATACATATATACTCAGTAAAACCCTATATATAGATGAGAACTAAATCCCACATTGAAAAGCGTTGATTTTTGATCGTTGGGCACTGATCAAATTTTTGCCACCAAATTTCGCCATGTAGAAATCGTGTGATTTTTACATGGCCCAGCTGAGCAGAATTTTCACAAAAACCATGTGGCTGCCATATAATAATAATAATATTAGCGGTTGCAGCGTTTAGAAGGCCGTAGGCCTGTCGCCGAATCTTGATATAGCAGAACATTCACAGCATTTTGCGGTCTCGAACTCGCAACTCACTGCTACAATTCTGCTGTGCTTAACCGCCCGGCCTTCTCGCCGATTCTGACCATAGGGTAGGCGTTGGCGCTAGGGCTTGTTTACGAGCTAAATTTGTGGTGTAGGGCTGCGCTCCCACCTGGACCACATGTGGAAGCTGTAACTTAAACATGTGGCCAATATTGTTACGCCACCTTGGGCCAACATGGGCCCCTTCAAATATTTTTACTAGGGTCGTACCCGTACGGAGTGCACTTCTCGTGTTGTGAGGGCTCGTAGTCTCCACGCTCGAGTATATTTGTTGTTCGTCACAGCAAGCGATAGCTTCCACAAACGAACTCATATCTCCACTAAAATCGGGAAATATGTTTATAATACAGCCCCTCACGGGGGACTTCTGACGCATGTCTGTGCTCGTCAAAAGTCCTATGGGATTTCGCGTTCCTAGGGGAATTGTTCCTGAGCGCCCCACCGCTAAGCTCGCGGTGTTTGACTGCAGGTCTCAGTTGTGGGGTTAAGTTTTTTATGTAGGTTGGATCCCTTACACTTCCCTTTCTGTCTCTCTCGTGCGGGCGGCCGACGTCCCGTGTGAGCGACCTCTTGTTCGAG